GCAGCCAGAGCAGAGAAGCCAAGCCTCGCTGCTGTGGCCGGACCAAAGGCCTGGGTCCCGGGTGCCAGAGGAAAACTGGTGCTGGCAGCCAGGGGAAGGAAGGCCTATTGCACGAATCTTCATGCAATGGGCCACTAGTAAAATAATAACAGTGGTTATGTTAATGTAGGAAAATTATGCATGATTTTTAAATTATGCATGTCTGGTCTTTAGTAGATACCAACCAATTTCTTCTGTTTTTCTGTTCCCGCTACCTAACATTTTTTAAAATTGTATGATTGTAAATTAAACATCTTTAAAGCTACATTTTTTTCTTTTTAAAGCCTGTATCCAGTATATGTGTATTTACATTTTTCATTTATATGTAAAACAATAGTAAAAGAATACAATTAACTTTTTAAAAAATTCTCACCCAAGGATTTGTTTATTGATTTTAGAGAGAAAAGGGGGTGAGAGAGAGAGAGAGAGAGAGAGAAACATTGATGTGAAAAAGAAACATCAATTAGTTACTTCCTGTATGCACCCTGACCAGGAATTGAACCTGCAACCTTTTGATATATGGAATGATGCTCCAACCAACTGAGCTACCTGGCCAGGGTCAAGATTAACTTTTAAAATATGGCAAAATAAAATAAAATATAGGTATTTTATTTCTTTCATTAAAGTTTGCTTAAATATTAAATAGCAAAAAATATAATGTATTTAATAACACAATACCTAGTAGGGATCTTACACATTTAGGCCTTTGATATATATTGGTTGAATAGACTTGAAATCACTCATTTGTTCATTTATTTATTTTTTAAATATATTTTATTGATTTTTTACAGAGAGGAAGGGAGAGAGATAGAGAGTTAGAAACATCGATGAGAGAGAAACATCGATCAGCTGCCTCCTGCACATCTCCTACTGGGGATGTGCCCGCAACCCAGGTACATGCCCTTGACCGGAATCGAACCTGGGACCTTTCAGTCCGCAGGCCGACGCTCTATCCACTGAGCCAAACCGGTTTCGGCTGTTCATTTATTAAACAAACATTTATTGAAGACCTACTTCACCCCCATAAAATGAGTATTTTTGCTGACTTAGAAAAGGATCAAATGATTTTCTAAGTTATAAAATACAATTGTGTACTTAAAGGTGCAAACAACATGTGTACAGTTTATCAAATTGCTGTAAAATGGCCCTAGCTGGTTGCTCTCAGTGGTTAGAGCATCGGCCCACGAAGGGAAGGGCTGTAGGTTTGATTTTGGTCAAGGACATATACCTCCATTGCAGGCTCAATCCCCAGGCCCGGTCTCTCTCTCTCTCTCTGTCTCTCCCTCCCCTACACTCTCTCTAAAAATTAACAGGAAAAATATCCTCGGGTGAGGATTAACAACAACAAAAAAAAAGTTGTAAAATGAATCCCCTTGTAACCAATCTTCCCACCCAGGTCAAGAAGTAGAACATCGCCAGTGCCCCAGAGCAGTAACCATCTGGCCCGACCCTAACCTCTGCCTGTGCCCCAGCGGTCACCAGGTCAGAGGCCAGTGTGCCCGCAGCTCGGGAAGCTCCAGGGCCCTTGCTTTTGTGGGCCTTTCCCAGCACATTCACTTTTTGTAAAGTTTGCAAAAGTAAACTGTTAGGGTGGCCGAAGGAGGAATGCACGAGGCCAAACGTAGTAAAGGTTTATAAACTCGTTAGGTCATCTGGAGACCAAATGGGCTGAGGCCCCAAATGGCGCCAGCACCCATTTTTGAGGAGTCGGAGGTTTTGAAGGACTCCAGGCGGGCTTTTTCGGTGGGGAACTCCCTGGGTGGTCCGGATCCCGGGAAGGTCCGAAGGGGAAGGATAATGGTCTTAGTAGGTGGAATGTGGTCTAAGCGAAAGGGAATGTCGGTTGTGAAGTGGCCTTTAGGGAGGGGGTATCGATTCAATTATTTTAATCCCAGTTGCCAGGGGAGGGGGTATCGATTCAATTATTTGATCAGACCTACCATAAACATTTTCCCACATTCAGTTAAGACCTCTCTGTACGTTCATAACTAATTCATCATGTCACATTCTTTTTCTTAAATAGGGTTCCCCCAAATTGGATTAGCTTCAGGGCCCACAAAATCTAGACCTGCCCCTGGACCCACTGTCATGAGTATGAGGCATTCTTTGCTTCCTGATGGATTACACAATGTGAAACTGTCCATGTCCCAGTTTAAAATGTTCCAGTATTTCCATGAGCTCTAATCCTTGGCTGCTCGGGGAGCTGCTTAGAGAGAATGGACTGGCTTTTCACAGCAGCACGGTGTATGGTTTGGGGTTTGTTTCACAGAAATGAACCACTAGAGCCTCTGCTTGGCTTTCTCTTCTTTATGAGACAGCAGTCACGCCCCGGACTAGTGCCTCGAAGGCAGAGTCACTAACAGAAGGCTAGCTTGTTAGACACAGAATATTTACAACAAGTTTGAATAGTCTGCCACCATTTAAGAGTCAAAAGATGTCACGCAAAACATTGGCTTTCTGACTTCCTCTGAGCATGTGGGAGATGTGACCACTCTGTCCCACATTCCCGGAGGCGCTGACTGGGTGGAGCTGAGGAGCAGCTGCTTGCTGAGGCCACGCCTCCTCCCTGAACCACGTTCCCTCACTGACGGGTGTTATCTGAGTGTTCGGTCCCTTTAGGCATTTGGGAACCCGCTTTAACCTAGTATCTTGTGTTAGAACAAAATGGTCTCTTCAGTGATTTTGAAAAATTAAATTTAAAGACAGCAAGGAACAAGTTCCCCCAAATACTACCAGGTGCCTTTCTTGCCTATAGTTCCTGAGCTCTTCACAAAGGTGCATGTAAGGAACCTCCCCAAATCGAGTTAAATGACCTAAGTGTACACATGAATAAAATTAGAAATGTACAAAGGTTCATCTCAAGGGACATAACTTCCCACTTAGAAGCAGTAAGAAGCACTAAGTCTAACTCTGCGGTTCCTGAATTTTTGTGTGAATCAAAATCTCACCTGGAGACCTACAAACAGATGGCTGGGCCCTTCCCCAGAGTTTTTCCTGGCTCAGTCGGTGTGGAGTGGGGCCGAGAGTGTGCCTTTGTAAGAGGTTCCCAGCTGCTGCCCATACTGCGGGCCCTGGAGCACGCCTTGAGAATCCCTGAGGCATGCCACTCAGAATGTGGTCCCCAGGCTAAATGCCCGGGAGCGGCCAGGAATGGAGACTCCCGGGCCCTGTTTAGACCAGTGGAATCAGGATCTGCAGGTGGTTTGTAGGAATGTTACATGTTGAGGTGCACCAGACCAACTTGTCCATTCCAAAACCTTCCTGGTTAAAGAAAAAAAAAGCACAAAAAACAAACCCTTGGGCCATTTGCTAATTATACAGAATACCAGGCCTTTCCCTTAGAAATTCTTATTTAGAAATCTATTTTTCCAACCATTCCAGGTGATTCTTATCATCAGGAAAGTTTAGGCTAAGGATCATATTAATAAATCTAAAGAAAGAATCTATATAATATGAAAGCCTAAACGTTCTGAACATCCGGAATGACCAGAATGACTGGTCGCTATGACGCGCACTGACCACCAGGCGCCAGACGCTCAATGCAGGACCTGCCCCCTGGTGGTCAGTGTGCTCCCACAGCCAACCTCCCCGGGCCGGCTGACCTCCCACAGTCCCTCCCCCTGGCTGGCAGGCCCCAATCACCTGATCGGGGCTGGGTCCCGGGCTGGGACAGGGAACCAGAGGTGGGTGGCGACAGGTGCAGCCCCTTTCCCAGGAGGCCCAAGGGCCAGCTCCCTCCTTGGGGCTGGTGGCCAACCTCCCATGCCCTGTCCCTCCCCCAAGCCAACAGGCCCTGATTGGCCCACTGCCCACCTGTCATGGTGGCGGTGCAGCAGTGAGGGAAGGAGGAGGGGGGAGGCGGGGAACCATGTGGTGGTGGGTGCCGATGATGGTGGGGCACCGATGATGGTGGCGTCGGCATCCAGTGTCCATTCCTTCCACTCCTGGCCCGGTGACCGTTCCCTCTTCTCTGGCCTGGCCCTGATCGGCCTGGCCCCAACCGGCCCTGATCACCGGCCAGGCCTAGGGACCCCACCCATGCACGAATTTCATGCACCGGGCCTCTAGTATGTTAATAAAATGAGATGAGCAAATCCTATATAATAAAAGGCTAATATGCAAATAGACAGAACAATGAAATGACCAGTCGCTATGACACACACTGACCACAAGAGGGCAGACACTCAATACAGGAGCTGCCCTCTGGTAGTCAGTGTGCTCCCACAGGGGGAGCACCACTCAGCCAAAAGCCGAGCTCACAACTGGCAAGTGCAGTGGTGGCAGGAGCCTCTCCCGCCTCCGTGGCAGCACTAACAATGTCCGACTGATGCCTTAGGCCCACTTCCATAGTCAGAAATCCCCCAAGGGCTCCCAGAGCGCACAGGCCTGTCCGAGGGACCCTCCCCACCCCTGCCCCCAAGTGTGTGAGTTTCATGCACTAGGCCTCTAGTGAAACATAAAAAATGGGAAATCCCAGGGGAGAAAATTGGTAGCATGTCTTCAACCATGTGGAGCTCTGTAGCTGCTGGTATGCATTCCTTTTGTAGAGAGAGACACATCAAATCGTCAGATCCTCTAACAAGCACCAAGATCCTTTTATCTGGGTCCCTTCTCCTCAAGAAAACTTGTCATTACAATTTGGCTTCCACGTGCTTTTAAAGCCAGGAGAAACACACCAGTCAAATCAATACTCTAAGTATTCTGATGTGAGTTACAAGTACATTTCTCACTGGGAATCAAGAAATCAAGGTGTTGACATATTTTTCTGTAGGTTCTATTAGTGCAGCGGTTCTCAACCTGTGGGTCGCGACCCCTTTGGCGGTCGAACGACCCTTTCACAGGGGTCGCCTAAGACCATCCTGCATATCAGATATTTACATTATGATTCATAACAGTAGCAACATTACAGTTATGAAGTAGCAACGAAAATAAATTTATGGTTGGGTCACAACATGAGGAACTGTATTTAAAAGGCCAGAAGGTTGAGAACCACTGTATTAGTGCCTCCAAGAGATCAAAACACCTTTGTTTGAATAACAAAATTAAATTGCTAGGCGTGTGTTTATCTTATTTTATTTGAGGAAAGGACAAATAAAGTAGATTTCACTATGTCGTTTTTAACTTTTTAAATATACATTCATTTAAGCAAGTCGGATTTTTTGGAAAGGAAAATCACAATAGAAGTGTGCAAAATATACAAGAAATGAAACATCTAAAAAATAGTGGATAATGAGGAAACTATCTTTAAATTAATAAATTCCTCAGTTTTGCCCTGTCTGGTGTGGCTCAGTTGGTTGGGTGTCATCCCATGCAATGAGGGGCCGTTCCATTCCCAGTGGGGTGTGTTCGGGAGGCAGCTAGTCGAAGTTTCTCTCTCTCTCTCTCCTTCTCCCTTCATCTCTCTTTAAAATCAATTTAAAAACATATTAAAAAAACTCAGTTTTTATTAGTGAAACATCAGCTTTAGTTAAGTCACATTTTCCTCCTTCACCTGTCTCCACAATTCTCCAGGAGGAGGGTGAAATTTTGCCCTTTTGCTTAAAAGAACTAAACCATCACTGAGTCCACCTACTATACATTTTTTTTCCAGACATCAGGTATGTCCGACATCCTTTTGCAAATTCCATATCTCTGAGAGTTGCACTCATTGCCTGTCCATCCACCACTCAATCCCACCATTTTCATCTGAGAGATTAGCAAACTCCCTGTCAATGTGGAACATGGTATTTCTATTAAGGTTTCAAGTGAATAATCTTATTCTAGAAAAGAAGCAATCAGAGGACCAGTTTGTCTGGAGGATGTTTGTCGGGAGGAGTGCTCCACCCATGAAAGGTGGTGTCTGTGTGTGGGGAGTGACTCAGCACAGGAGTCCCTCACTCCCTCCCCAGAGCCACAAAGGCCAGTCTCTCCTCACTCAACTCCACTCCCTTCACCCTCCCTCCACCAAACCCAGGGGGCGTGGCTGAGAGTGAGACTTTGTGATTGGCCTTTTAAGAGGGTGTCTGTGTCCCTAGCAGACTCCTGTCTGTGCTGGAGTACTGAATCCCCACTGATTTCACAGCCAGATGTTATGTGGGTGCCTCTTCCTGTTTCGGGTGCTCTGGGCTAGGAAGCCTGGTTTGCGGTTGGGACCCCACCCTTCTCAGGGGAACTTTGCAGCTGGATCTCCCTCCAGAATTTCAGCCACCACCGGTGAGAGCAGGGCCAGCCCTTTTCACGTCTTTGTCCTTCCTACCGGTCTCGATGTGGCCTTTCCTGTAAATCCTTGGTTACAAGATTTCTCTTCAGCTTGTCTTCCGTTGGCTATTCAGGCTGACTGCTCTATATTTAGGTTGTAATTCTAGTTTGGTCCTGGGAGGAGGAGAAGTGTAACCTACCTTTTAATATATACATTTTTACTTGGAACCATTGGAATGTACTATCTATTCAAAAATTAAATTTATACTTCTTTGGGAAGAGACTAACAATATTTACATGACCAAGGAACTAAAGACCTATGGCTTATCATCCTATAATAGATCTTCAATAATTATTTGATGCCTTGTATTAATGGGAAATGACTCCAGGTGAAGGTGTGTGATGGGCCAGGCCTATGAGAGCAGAAGGGAAGGTCTGGGGCCAGGGCTGCCCATCATGGAGAAGGCAGTCTGCTTACACTGGCACATCCACTATGGTGTTCCAAGTGGGGCCGGGTGGGCACTAGGGGAACAAACTTGGGCGGAATGCCAGTCTGAATTACAGTGAACACGAAGCCTGCTTTCAGTAACAGAAGAAACCACATGCTCTTATGATAGAGGTGGTAATGATAAAGGAATAGGAATAATTGAGAGAAGTCCCCAAGTTATCTTTTTGTTGTTTTTGGTGGGGTTTTTTTTGTGAGGTGGGAGTGAATTTGGAATGAGAATTATAATTATTTCTAATCTCATCAGAAGGGTGGTATGTATGAAGAATGATGTTAGCCACCCAGGAAGGAGGGAGGTACAGCAGGGCTGTGGCTTGGAGGTTTAAGGAGGAATACTCACTGTACTTGCAACTCACTGTGAGAGACTGAGCCAGTTAGAGGCACCAAGGCATCCTGATTCCTGGGATCCAGAAGGTGGGAGACAAGTGTCGGGGTGACAGGGTAATCACTAGTATCAGGGATGTGATACACCCCCTGCTCCAGAAGGAATGGTGTCCCAGGGTTACTCACAGGGAGGGGGCAGTGTGACTGAGAGCTGTGGGCCGGGCCCCCTGGGAAGCCCTAAACACAGTCTGGTGGGGAAGTACCACTAATGCCCTCAGAGAGCAGTGAGTCATCAGCAGGAAGAAGCCAGTGACCCAAGGTTCCCTGCTCTGGGCATGGAGCAAGCTCTTGGGCACATCCAGCTCCTCCTCTCGCACCATCTCCCTCTTTCTGGGTGTCTGGTGTGAATATCTAGGCGTGCTTTTTGAGATCCTCTGATGAAAGGTGCAACAGAAGGGCAAAGTATTACTATTAACACTGTAAATATTTTAATGACAACAGCAGAAGTGCCACAGGCAGGCAGAACAGAGATGCATATTTCAACTTCTAATATTCCTAAAAGAACCGGTGAAGAATAGCAAGAGTGAGAAGAGAAGCTGATTGTGGAGGAAAAAAAGATGGTGAGTTCAACTAAGGAAGAGACCTCCTGCTCTGGTCCCAGCAGAAGTGGTGATGCCCACCCACCCACACTGAGGCTGAAGCCAGACCCCAGGGTCTTTCTTCCTATGCACACGTGCGACAACTGATGGGGCAGATGGAGCGAGTCCAGGCCCAGCCTTCATGCGAGAGGTGAGCTGCTTCCGGGCGTGCTGCTGTCCCATTAGCGCACAGGCCAGCCTGGGAGCAGTGTCCCAGAGGGAGGGGAAGATGGGGCTTCCCCTGACAATACCACTTGGGAGACATGGAGCAGGCTAGCGCTGTGGAGGGAGCAGAGAGGGGACAGGGCGATGCATGTCCAGACAGAATGTTTCACCCCTGTTGGACCTGGGCATTTTGCTGGCAAGAGAAACCAGCTGGCTAAATTTAGAGCAGTTTCATAATTGCTCTCGAGCAATAACTGGAGTTAGAAATTAATAATAACTACCAGTTGAATATAAATGATGTTCCAGGCGCAGCGCTAAAGGCAACCTCTACATTTTCTCATTTATTCTCCAAAACAACCCTATGAGGTCGTGCTGCCGGCCCATTTTACATGGAAAGTGTCTTGCCCAAGACACGACTATAAATAGCATGGTTAGGGTCTGAATGCAAACATTTTAACTTCAAAGTTGCTTGATGACAATGCTATGCAGCCACCCCCCCCCGCCCCCCCCAATGATTAAAAAGCAACCACCAGGGATCGTAAATTTTGTTATTTTCTTGCTTATTCCAGGCCTGAACACATTGCATCGAGAATGCTATTGTCAAAGATAAGGTAG